TCGTCATCTAAGCCTATCTGTAAAGTTTGTCTAAAAGGAACAATAGCTTTATAATTTAATGACTTTATTTTATTGTTCTATTATTTTCTCAACATTCGCAACATTCTTTATAAAGATTTGATTTTCATTAGGTTTTGAGAATCGAGAATTAATTTGTAATGAAATTTTCAGCCCTATTATGAATTCCACTAGTAGAAATCTACGAATTATGAATTTAGCTACGTCATAGTCTTTTAAATGATCACAAATTCTTTTCGTAGAGATGAATCAGCAGTGGTAACACAATTTTTCGGAGTACCAAATTCAGTATTTTATTTCAACTGTCAAATGTTTATTTGTTTTTTGTTGCTATTTGAGTACACAACTTTGGTAAAAAGGGATATTTTTTAAAAACGCGAGTTTTACAGTTTTTTTTAGTTTTTAGCAAATAGGAAGAACTATTAATTTAAACAGAAAAATTGAAAACTTGAAAATTTCAAACAACCAACTCTGCTTAAAGTGCTTGTTACGTGTGATTATTTCTTTCGTAGACTTTCGAATGTTCTTTTTACTACGAACGTAATTTATTATTACTCTATTATTACCGTAGTATGATTTTAATAAATTGGAATTGAGAATATGAAATTTGTAATTTTCCGAATTTTGGAATTCATGATAGGGCTGTTGATCTTTGGAAAAGAAAACCTTGCAATTCCTGAGTTAAAAGTATCATGATTTCATTCACATTTAACAAAAGAACCAAGTACGAGATCTAATATTAAATAATATTTTTTGTTTTATTTATTTTCCAGTTTTTTGTGTTTTTGGGTTAAGCTTGAAACTTAAAAAAAATTTTTTTTATTATGCAATTGTATAGAAGACATTTGACCACATTTTAATAAAATTAAAAGCAGAAAATGCGTAGTTGAAATTAAATAAGAGAAGAAAAAGTCTTATAATGAAGTAAAAAGAAAAAGTGTAACGTTTAATTTTTTTTCATTTCGTAAAAAATTAAGTTAAAGAACTGATTATGTGATTTTTAGCTCACGTGGGAGGTAATACAAAATTAAATATTGTTTAGTTTTTGCAAGATTTTTGGAATTATATAAAAAATGCCGACCGAAACTTTTTGTTTTCTTTTTTTTTATTTTTGGCTTTTAAGATTATGAATTGTATTAAATTCACTTTATGAGATAGTTCTGTAAAAATTTTCTTTGGGAATTTTCTAATTTATGTACGTTCTTAATGGACGTTCAATAGGAAATCATTTGGTTGATTTTTATAATATGGATCACATTTATTGCAGTCAATCTACTTATGTGTATGATTTAATAAATACATTTACGTTTGTATATGTATGTATGTTGAATATACTAAAAAAAAAGGAACTATCGAATTATTTTTTTAGAATTCAGAAACTATTATAGCGGCGAAACCGCAAACTTTGACGATGTATATCAAGTCTTCGGTGGGAAATAAACTATTTGTAGAGTGGTGTCGGTCTGGCTGTTTGTCTGTTTAACATATGTGTGCACGTGTGTATCCCGAGTTCCGCTGAACCGATTTTGATGAAATTTTATATGTAAGTTTATTTCGACTATGTCACGGATTGATCAATATATATCAGGCCTCGGGAACTGGGCCCTTTAAAGGGCCTGCTTTAGATTATTGATAATTTTAAAGAAAATATGCAACAGATTTACTTGACATTTCGTTTACTACGGGCCAAATATACAATTTTGAGTATATAAAGAGTAATAATCAACCGATTTCATTGAAATTTAATATTTAAATTTGAAATGGTAAAACAATGAAAGAATAAATTTTTTGGAAAGATCAGGGCGCGAATACCAAACTGGGGGCCGATTTTATCTTTTTTACCATATCTAAGGAACGAATTGATGGAATTTCTTGAAATTTTTGTATTTGAGTTCCGGTTGTTCCCGAAACTAACGGGCGAGCATTTCAGGGAATTCGGGTAGGACAAAGCGAAACAATACTAAGAGCCAAATTTACATTTTTCTAGGTATGTTAACTCTAGGCTTACTAATGCACTGAAAATTGGAAAGAAGTATTTAACAGACATTTTTATAATATTCTGTAACACTTTCACTTAACTAGACAATACACATTGCGGTCAGTTATTGACCACATCAGATTTTTTAATATTAACGAGACAAAATTAAAAATAATTATTATTGATTACGCAAGAAATTATTAAAAAGATTTTTGACAAAATTTTTAATTAAAAATCAAGATTTTTTCTTAAAATAAAAAAAAATTAAAGAAAATATCAAGAAATTAATAATAGCGTGTGTGTTTATGAAATATGCAGAAAAAATAAAAACTAGTATTCTGGAAAAATTTTAAAATTAAAAAAAAAAATCTCGAATTAGAATTGAATTTTAAATTGTAACTATTCAAGTTTTCAACTTCGCGTATTTGTTGTTTGTCTCTTTATACGTTATTTATTTTTCTTGTCTTTTCAATTAGATCTAGTTTTACTACATTATAATCTAATATTGCGCAAAGAAAGTAGACTTCATATGTTTTTAGAATTGTATATTGATTTTTAATTTTTGTTTTTTTTTAAATATTTTCGCTAATATTACATAATTACTTCAATTAAAGTTATAACATTTATGAAAAAATATTTAAAGAGCAAAAACTAGTTTAGAAAAATATGAAAAAAAAAACTTTACGTAGTACTTTTTATTCGCACACAAATTATGAGATTTTTCTATTGATATTATGAAAATTTTTTAAAATTAAGAGTTTTGTTGTCAAATTGTTGAACTGTTATGTAATTATAGTAAGTATATGCTATGTATTTACATATACACACATATGTATTTACATATGCAAAAATTTTAAATTGATTTAATAATTCTATTATAATTAATATAATTATATTTAATATTTAATAAGTCTATTCTATATTGTATATGAAAAGAGATCTGAGCATAAAATATGAAAAATATTGAAATCAAAATATTTTCGTAATGTCCAATTACTTCTGAACCTAACACTGTATTAAATGTGTTATGGAGAATATGAATATAGATTTTCAATAGATATATATATGTATAGGTTAAAACTTTGTACGAACCCATAGATCAATGAAAGGCTCTGAGATAATGAGCCTTAAAATGAATTTTTTTTATTACTTACAATTTTAATACTTTTAATTGCTTTATTTTTGTGTAGCCGGTAGACTCATGATTAAATATGATTTTGAAAGCATATAGAGTAAGGTTTTCGTCAAAGATAACATTTAAATTTTTTTATAGGCTTGAGAGATTATTTTTTTTTTAAATTTTCTTATAAAGTTCTTATAATAATATAAGTAGATTTGTTTAGTTTTTAGATATGTATAATAAAGCGTTCAGTTAGGTTAGGTTAGGTAAGTCAAGAGATACTGCTACCAGCTTCCAAACTGACTACAGTCAAGTCTTCATTACTGTAAAGAGGTAATAGAAAAGCATTTAAGTTACTTCTAATAAGTATGCATGATCTCACCTTCGAACTGCCTATATCGCTATAAAACAGCTTGTATCCTGGCGTCCTCAGTCCGCAGATCTTTCTCCCTGCTATCCAGGGCTCCTGGACCAAGACTGTATCTTCTCCACCCCTTTGTAAGCGGAGAAGAAGCGCAGTTGAAGCTGCTTTAGAGTGGTGGAGGTTGATCTGAATTGCACGAAGCTTTGCTGCTTTCGTTAACCTCCACCAGCGTCTTATTTGTATCCTCGTCCAGATTCAAGTCCAACAAAGCCCCCTCCAGATCCAAATCAAGATGCATTACGTCTTCGTCTGTCAGCCCCGCTTCATCCAGCATCTCTGCTTCTGATGAGACCGACCAGACGATTTCTCTGGAGCCTTGTTGGTGACGTTGACAACCGATGGCATGCCTTCAGGATGTTCCCGTTGGTCACTCTGTTTCTGAGCCCCCTCAACCTTTGTGTCTGTTTTATACACTTTAAGGGTTATGGAGGAGAACCCATAGTTAAGTACAAATCTCTGACTCTCCAAAGGTGCCAAAGATTCCCTATTTCTCTCTTCCAACTTCGCCACCCGCCACTTGGCTATCGGTAAGTTGGGATTGCCGCGGTCTGCTTGGAATTTGGTCTTTCGCAACGATCGCAAGCCTACCCCCGGGCCAAACTTCCCCTACTCCTGCTATCGTCTTTTTATACAGGTCGAGAGACCTGCCGTCAGCACAGGCTACAAATTTGACAAATCCCTGGTGTTAACCTTGCTCTCTGCACGAGGGATATGGGCCTGGATTATCCTTTATGATTTGAGGAAAGCCTGCCATTAGTCGGCTTTCAACTTTCCTCCAATTCTCAGCAGAGTCCTGCCATCTTCTTGAGCCTGGTCAAGCACAGCGACAACAAGATGGTCCTTCAGGATTTCATTGAAAGACCTCGTAATGGATGCGCTCAAGGGTCTATTCGGTGGCCTTGGCTTTTTAGCTTCCCGAGGTGGTTCCTCTGTGGAGCGCTGTCGTTTTGTTGCCACAACCCTCTCGCTTAATCGCTTGTCCACAATACTCTTGGCCCAGTTGTATGTGGACCTTTCTTCTTCAGACCGGTCTTTTCCCGGAATTCGACCGATCCTTTCCAGGTTCCTAAATGCAGAACGCCGTTCCCTATATCCCAGATGCTCCGTTAGCGACTGGGCTATTTGTCTGGGCCCCCAGTCAAGCTGATTATCGGCATGGATCGCGTAACGCCTTAATCCGGCCCAGGGGGAATCAGGAGCGATAGGATGCAGTGGGGGGATAGGTGCGGGGAAAGGGTTTGATTATTTTTTGGTTTCAGGCCTCATCTGGGGACGCATCCCGAGACTCCTTGACCCTACTCAGCTCCTACAATATCTCGAAAACCCTTGAGATTTCGCACCTACTCCGGAACAAAAGTTTTACCCTTTTTCGACTCTCTAAACAATGATATATGTTGTTGTATATCTTTCTGAATCATCCTGTATAATGTAATAAAATAACATTTACTTCATAAACTTACTACTTTCCATATAATTTATAGCGTCATTTCTCTTAGCAGTGCAATCATTTGTTTTATCACCTTGATGTTTATTTTCCATTAAATGTGAGTTTTTTAATTTGGTATTCTCAATAATTAGTTTTATATTTTCTGTTATCAATTTAATAACTAAACTTGCATTTTTTTTTATAAATTTCAAAAAATTGCCAATTATAAAGCTATATTCGAATTGAAATCTGTCAAAAGTAAATTGTTCTTGAGTAGAAGAATTTGTTGAGCTTTCTGATATAATTTCTTTTTCTTCCAAATTACATCTGTATTGAATGGGATGTTGTGTATTTAAATTTATTTGTTCACTATAACTGGTTAAAGAATTATCATTGTATTCACGTTCTTCTTGAACCGAAGAATTACTTAAGCAGCCGGATATTACTTCTTCACCTTTCGAATTAGAACTGGATGTCAAGTGACGTTGTGTATTTAAATTTGTTGGTCCATTATAACTGGTTAAAGAATTATTTTTGCTTTCATGTTTTTCTTGAATCGAAGAATTAGCAAATGACGTTTGAAAGCTGGGTTGCATCTCGTGTTGCGTATTAAAATTTAATTGTTCATTATAACTGATTAAAGAATTATCATAGTTTTCATGTTCTTCTTGAACCGAAGAATTACTTGAACTTCCGAACATTACTTCTTCACTTTTCCAATTAAACCTGGATTTCAGCTGACATTGTATACTTAAATGTGATGGTTCACTATGACAGTTTAAAGAATTATTATTGGCTTCATGTTTCCTTGGAACATGTGAGTTTTTAGATTTTACATCTTCGTTTTCCGAATCAGAATTGGGTTTAACCTGATATTGTGCGGTAAGATTTTGTGTTATGATTGAAGTTGTGGAAAAATCGAAGTCCAATGATTCGTGTGTTTTAAAATACCTTTGCTCAAAATCATCATATGTTATTGCTTCATCTATGGAATCCATAATGAAATTCCATCTCACGTTATGCTTTTAAATTTATTGGTTCATCATGACAGGTTGTAGAATTATGTTAACTCAAATTTTTTGAATTTTTTTTAAAATTTTGGAAGAAAACGATAAATCTAGAAAGATATATAAAAAAAAATATTATAAATTTTAAACAAGAATAATGATGGGCTAAAATTTAAACGGTACAGTTCTGTTGCCAAAAGTAGATAAATTGTTGTTAAAATGAAAAATTTTATTTAAAAATGTGTAGACAAGATACATTAGTTTGAATATTTTTCTAATTATCAAAAATAACAGCTTGCAAAATTTAAATTTTCGGATATTATGAAAATGAAATGGCATTTTTAGAGAATTTTTTTGCATACAGTACTTCTAATGAACCCTTCCCAATTTACCCATAAATTATGTTAAAAATATGTATGCATTTTCACATTTGCATATTTTCAAAATAAAAATCTATTTCAAATAAACCCCTGTATATTAAATTGGTTTAATAGGTAGTTATTCCATTTCAACCTTTTTCGAGACAGAGAAATTCTATGAAAATAAAAGAATGAATGTCTGAAGCATATTTTAAAAATAATTCAAAAATATATTGAGGTAGGTTTAGCAGATTTTCACCAATGTATCAGCAGCACGAACCATATTTAATTTCGATTCAATTGAATCAGTAGTTTTGGAGTAGCTATACCATTGTTTTTGTCTATGATCTTAGAGATTGTACATGTAACTTGCACTTATCATATTTTATACTTAACTAATTAAGTAGTATAAGGTCGCTGTTCGAAATAAATTTGCTATTTTAGTTCTATAAATTCTTACAATAGCTGCTATAGTATAACTTTAAGAAATCCAAGTCGTACTTAAAAATTTCTTCGTAAATTTTATATGCTATAGTTTGCTTATTTAGTAAGAAATACCATAAATTATTTACTTTAATTTTTCATAATAAATTACAAGATTTTTACAAATATTTTACAAAACTTGAAATATGTGTAACAATTTTTAAACTGACAGTGTGAATAATTCTGTCATTTGTCGCTTGATTTTTTTTTTAATTAATTTCAAATTACACAATTTATAGAATGAGAAAAAATGCATAAAAATAGGAATAGGAGCATTTGGTTTCGCTTTGTTTTATTTAATCATCAAAAATCAATTTCTGTATAGTGTAAAAAAATAAATTCAAAATTTATACGAATCTGTCATTGTCACTTCAAAATATTTAGAACATTTTTTTTTTGACAAAATTCTGCAAATTCAAGTTTTTTTGTTTTTTTTCTTTTGCTATAAACATAGCAAAAACATAGTAAATTTTCTATAAACATAGTAATTTTATACAACATGTATGATTGTGTACATGTATACATACATATATGATTCTCCAATATAACCGTAGAGTAATAGACAAATGTTCGACAGTTGTGTCAACTTAATTAAATCCAAAAAATAACTATTTTTAGAATTTGGTTTAATTTTTTTCCTGTTTTTTTTTTTTATTTTTTATAAATAAAATAGTGTTTAACTATTGTGAAGAGAATTATAGCTATACTCTGCTCCTATAAATGGACTTTTCTTGACAATCAGAAACATTTTATCATGATGTACACATATGTGTGCACATACGATTGTATTTTGTAAATTTTTTGTTTTGTACTGATCAGGGATAGCATCAGCTGTAGGTACGCTTTTTCAATACCATCTCTTTTTACTAAACTCATTATCTTGTTCTCCTTTAACTTCATTCGAAAGTATGGTATGAATTGTAGTGAAAAAGTTTCAAACAAGTTGTTTTTACGGATATCAAGAAGTAAAAAGGTTAATATTGGTCTGTTCCTTCTAAATTTTATTTAGCTATTAGTTAAAAAGTTTTAGAGTTTTTGAATATTTTTTAAAGAAACCCTTTGTATAGTTTTCAACGTTTTTATAACGATATTCGGCATATTTGGAGAAATTTTTTAAATCCCTATTAATATCTGATCTTGCTGTTAAGTTTTATTTTTCTTTACGAAATAATTATTGGTTTTTTATTCCCGGATTTTCCAATAAAGTCATTTGAAAAAAAAAAATAAAAAATTAATACCAAAATAGCGTAATAAAAATAGGATTACCATAAGTACATCAACATAAAAATTTAATTTTCAATTTAGATGTTGTTAAAAAAAAATACAAGCTATAGAGCCGTTTTTGTAAACTTTTCTAGGCTAAGTCAAATATAATTGTTTTAAGGATAAAATAAAGTTTAAAATAAAAAAAAAAAAAAAAAAAATCTGATCTTGCTAGATCAACTTAGAATTCTGTCCTGAGGAAGCATATACGTATATAATATGTACTTCTTAGGGTCCCAAATGTTCCATTTTCGGCGTTCGTAGCAAATTGTGTATATCGCCTGTATAGGAAGTTCGACACTCGATGATATTCCTGAAGCAGATTGATAAAATGAACCAATCTTTGACATTAATGATAAACGATTAGAAGGGAAATTTTAATAAGCTTTCAAATGAGTAGACCAAATTGGATTTTCCTGCAATATTTCTTTTCTCTCAAGTTATGGTAACTCATATTTCAACTATGAGTTACCATAACTTGAGAAGCGGGCCCGAAAAAGAAAATGTCCTCCGGTGTATTTTGTTTGCCTGGACGCATTCCATTTCCCTGTTTTTGGAGTATGACTGAGTTTTGGGCACCCTGTATAATATAAAGGCGAAAAAAAAAATATTTTTTAATTTTTATGAGTACATGAACTGCTCTGGTCAAAGAGACCTACATATTTTTGATTGAAATCAAAGTTTTTTAATTAATTTTCAAAACTATTGACAGTGATAAATTGTGCTATTGTCACAGTTTTTCCTGAACTTTAAACTGAATTATACTTCATATCAAATTTAAAGTAAAATGTTTGATTTAGGATCAACTATCAAAGATTGCGAAGTTCTTGTTAAAATATAATAATTTTAAAATTTAAATTTTGCAAAAAAAAAGTGTAAAAAAATTACAATAATTTTAATAATCTTAAATATAATTACATATTACATTTGTTGAGGTTATTATATTGCCAAACATTTAAATGCTATGAAATATTTGACTTAATAATTCAGTATATATTTTTATAAAAATTTTTAACAATGGTAACAATTTTACTAGTTTAGTTGAATATAATCTATTGGGAGAAGCAAATATAAAAATATTATACATATATTTTTAGCACACTATGTACATTTAACATGTACAAAAATCATCAAATTCCAAAAAGGTTAATGGTTCATTGCATATTTTTTGTATACAGTCGTTGAAAATTGGCTCTTAATCGATTGTGGAAATATATTTTATAATCTACATCACATAATATATATTATTATATAATATATGTATGTTAATTCTATGTACATATAAAGAAATGACTATAAATAATCTGCAGTTTTTTTTAGATCTACATAAATGTATCTGCTTACATACCTTAAAAATATATAAATACTTTATTAAATTATTTTAATTTTGTAATTTTTTGTAATGTTTTCAAATAAAATGATTTCTAAAGAGCGGTTTTCCTTAAAATTTGTTAATATAAGAGTTAGTATATATAAATTTTTATACACTAACTCTTATAACATTATAGTTCAATATTTTATTACATTTAGATCAAAATTGCTTAAATTATTTTTACGTTAAAATGTTTATCGTATTCTAACATAATGCCATTCTTTATTTGTTTCTCACAGAAATTTAAATGGATTTTAATTCAGAATGTTATAAAAACCAAAAATATTTCTGTAAATTGTGAATTATATATATATAGCTACTTCTCAGGTGGTAAAAAGTACGGGTACTTCTAGAAGGGCTAGAGACATGGGACAAAAGGCATTAGGTAGAATTTTGCCTCTAGGGTCCCAGAAAAATCTGACATTGGAACTTTTTAGCCCCGAAATAGCTCTATTTTAAGATTTTCTGAAAAAATTTTTGTATAACAAAAGCACGTTTTTCTTTTATACTTTTTATAATTAGAAACACAAACCACGAAATAAATGATACGTTTTACGTTATTTTTATTATTAGAAACACAAACCGAGAAATAAATAATATTTGAAAATATAATGATCTCACATATTTTTGTTGCGGATAAACGAATTAATTTTAACGTAAATAAATGTCAGCTTTTATCAGACATCAGATGTTTTGTGACATCTGAATATTAATATTTCATTTGTTATTGTTTGAACATTACGTTTCGTCAGCAAGCTTTAAAAAAATATATGTACATACAGAATATATGTATGTACGTATGTAGTTAGAATTTTATTTTTATTGTTCCAAACGGAAAACTGTAAAATGCTAAATTTTAATACATTTATATATACATACATATATTTGAATAAAATTATTATTTTGTTTTTGCCTAAACCTTTTCTTTATTTAAAAAAATTACATTCATATGTATATATATATATTTGAATACAATTATTATTTTATTTTAACCTAAACCTTTTCTTTATTTGAGAAATTTATTTCTATATGTTCACCCGCAGTTTTAAAAAAACTAGGTATACATTCATAATAACGTGTGTTTGTGTTAATAATTTTATTTATAATTTTTCCAACAGCAAAATTTTGTTCGTACATACGTTCATATGTTGGAACGAAAAATTTTAAAATCTTCAATTCTAATCCATTCATATATACATACATACACACATGTATTCATATATACATTCATACACATATTTTTACATACATAAATTTTTATTTTGTTTTTGACTAAACCTTTTCTTTATATTTAAAATTCAATCCTATATGTTTACCCACAGTTTAAAAAAAACAGGTATCCATTCATAATTATGTATATTTGCATTTATAATTTTATTTATAATTTTTCCAACAGCAAAATTTCAAAATTTTCGATTCTAATACATTCATATGTACATACGTTCATATGTTGGAACGAAAAATTTCAAAATCTTCAATTCTAATCCATTCATATATACATACACACATATATTCATATATACATACTTACATATATTTTTACATACATAAATTATTATTTTGTTTTTGACTAAACCTTTTCTTTATTTGAGAAATTAATTTTTGTAAGTTTACCCCCATGATATAATAATTATGCGTTTAAAATTTATTTCTATATATTCTACAGTTTTGAATATTATTAAATTCATATAGAAAGCTTAAAAAAAATTACTCAGTAAGCTTTAAAAAAAATATACATACTACATACATATTTATGTACTTAAAATTTTTGCGAATTTTTCCAAACTATTATAAGAATATTTTTTTGGAAATTTTCTTTAAACTTTTATATAACATTTATCAGTTATATATTAAAAAAAAATAAAACACAAAATTTAAACAAAATAAAAAAAAAAATTTTTAAAATAATCCAAAAAAAGAAAAATACAACATCCAGGCAAGCATTGATCCAATAACCTTCTGGCTATGAGACTACCACGCTAACCACTAGGCTACGCAGTACCTTGAATTTCCCTTAATAATTCTATATTTTATTCATATATCGTATAACTCATCAAAAACCATCATATTTTACATTATATATATATAGCTACTTCTCAGGTGGTAAAAAGTACGGGTACTTCTAGAAGGGCTAGAGACATGGGACAAAAGGCATTAGGTAGAATTTTGCCTCTAGGGTCCCAGAAAAAGCAAGAAGAGCTTTCTGATATAATTTCTTTTTCTTCCAAATTACATCTGTATTGAATGGGATGTTGTGTATTTAAATTTATTTGTTCACTATAACTGGTTAAAGAATTATCATTGTATTCACGTTCTTCTTGAACCGAAGAATTACTTAAGCAGCCGGATATTACTTCTTCACCTTTCGAATTAGAACTGGATGTCAAGTGACGTTGTGTATTTAAATTTGTTGGTCCATTATAACTGGTTAAAGAATTATTTTTGCTTTCATGTTTTTCTTGAATCGAAGAATTAGCAAATGACGTTTGAAAGCTGGGTTGCATCTCGTGTTGCGTATTAAAATTTAATTGTTCATTATAACTGATTAAAGAATTATCATAGTTTTCATGTTCTTCTTGAACCGAAGAATTACTTGAACTTCCGAACATTACTTCTTCACTTTTCCAATTAAACCTGGATTTCAGCTGACATTGTATACTTAAATGTGATGGTTCACTATGACAGTTTAAAGAATTATTATTGGCTTCATGTTTCCTTGGAACATGTGAGTTTTTAGATTTTACATCTTCGTTTTCCGAATCAGAATTGGGTTTAACCTGATATTGTGCGGTAAGATTTTGTGTTATGATTGAAGTTGTGGAAAAATCGAAGTCCAATGATTCGTGTGTTTTAAAATACCTTTGCTCAAAATCATCATATGTTATTGCTTCATCTATGGAATCCATAATGAAATTCCATCTCACGTTATGCTTTTAAATTTATTGGTTCATCATGACAGGTTGTAGAATTATGTTAACTCAAATTTTTTGAATTTTTTTTAAAATTTTGGAAGAAAACGATAAATCTAGAAAGATATATAAAAAAAAATATTATAAATTTTAAACAAGAATAATGATGGGCTAAAATTTAAACGGTACAGTTCTGTTGCCAAAAGTAGATAAATTGTTGTTAAAATGAAAAATTTTATTTAAAAATGTGTAGACAAGATACATTAGTTTGAATATTTTTCTAATTATCAAAAATAACAGCTTGCAAAATTTAAATTTTCGGATATTATGAAAATGAAATGGCATTTTTAGAGAATTTTTTTGCATACAGTACTTCTAATGAACCCTTCCCAATTTACCCATAAATTATGTTAAAAATATGTATGCATTTTCACATTTGCATATTTTCAAAATAAAAATCTATTTCAAATAAACCCCTGTATATTAAATTGGTTTAATAGGTAGTTATTCCATTTCAACCTTTTTCGAGACAGAGAAATTCTATGAAAATAAAAGAATGAATGTCTGAAGCATATTTTAAAAATAATTCAAAAATATATTGAGGTAGGTTTAGCAGATTTTCACCAATGTATCAGCAGCACGAACCATATTTAATTTCGATTCAATTGAATCAGTAGTTTTGGAGTAGCTATACCATTGTTTTTGTCTATGATCTTAGAGATTGTACATGTAACTTGCACTTATCATATTTTATACTTAACTAATTAAGTAGTATAAGGTCGCTGTTCGAAATAAATTTGCTATTTTAGTTCTATAAATTCTTACAATAGCTGCTATAGTATAACTTTAAGAAATCCAAGTCGTACTTAAAAATTTCTTCGTAAATTTTATATGCTATAGTTTGCTTATTTAGTAAGAAATACCATAAATTATTTACTTTAATTTTTCATAATAAATTACAAGATTTTTACAAATATTTTACAAAACTTGAAATATGTGTAACAATTTTTAAACTGACAGTGTGAATAATTCTGTCATTTGTCGCTTGATTTTTTTTTTAATTAATTTCAAATTACACAATTTATAGAATGAGAAAAAATGCATAAAAATAGGAATAGGAGCATTTGGTTTCGCTTTGTTTTATTTAATCATCAAAAATCAATTTCTGTATAGTGTAAAAAAATAAATTCAAAATTTATACGAATCTGTCATTGTCACTTCAAAATATTTAGAACATTTTTTTTTTGACAAAATTCTGCAAATTCAAGTTTTTTTGTTTTTTTTCTTTTGCTATAAACATAGCAAAAACATAGTAAATTTTCTATAAACATAGTAATTTTATACAACATGTATGATTGTGTACATGTATACATACATATATGATTCTCCAATATAACCGTAGAGTAATAGACAAATGTTCGACAGTTGTGTCAACTTAATTAAATCCAAAAAATAACTATTTTTAGAATTTGGTTTAATTTTTTTCCTGTTTTTTTTTTTTATTTTTTATAAATAAAATAGTGTTTAACTATTGTGAAGAGAATTATAGCTATACTCTGCTCCTATAAATGGACTTTTCTTGACAATCAGAAACATTTTATCATGATGTACACATATGTGTGCACATACGATTGTATTTTGTAAATTTTTTGTTTTGTACTGATCAGGGATAGCATCAGCTGTAGGTACGCTTTTTCAATACCATCTCTTTTTACTAAACTCATTATCTTGTTCTCCTTTAACTTCATTCGAAAGTATGGTATGAATTGTAGTGAAAAAGTTTCAAACAAGTTGTTTTTACGGATATCAAGAAGTAAAAAGGTTAATATTGGTCTGTTCCTTCTAAATTTTATTTAGCTATTAGTTAAAAAGTTTTAGAGTTTTTGAATATTTTTTAAAGAAACCCTTTGTATAGTTTTCAACGTTTTTATAACGATATTCGGCATATTTGGAGAAATTTTTTAAATCCCTATTAATATCTGATCTTGCTGTTAAGTTTTATTTTTCTTTACGAAATAATTATTGGTTTTTTATTCCCGGATTTTCCAATAAAGTCATTTGAAAAAAAAAAATAAAAAATTAATACCAAAATAGCGTAATAAAAATAGGATTACCATAAGTACATCAACATAAAAATTTAATTTTCAATTTAGATGTTGTTAAAAAAAAATACAAGCTATAGAGCCGTTTTTGTAAACTTTTCTAGGCTAAGTCAAATATAATTGTTTTAAGGATAAAATAAAGTTTAAAATAAAAAAAAAAAAAAAAAAAAATCTGATCTTGCTAGATCAACTTAGAATTCTGTCCTGAGGAAGCATATACGTATATAATATGTACTTCTTAGGGTCCCAAATGTTCCATTTTCGGCGTTCGTAGCAAATTGTGTATATCGCCTGTATAGGAAGTTCGACACTCGATGATATTCCTGAAGCAGATTGATAAAATGAACCAATCTTTGACATTAATGATAAACGATTAGAAGGGAAATTTTAATAAGCTTTCAAATGAGTAGACCAAATTGGATTTTCCTGCAATATTTCTTTTCTCTCAAGTTATGGTAACTCATATTTCAACTATGAGTTACCATAACTTGAGAAGCGGGCCCGAAAAAGAAAATGTCCTCCGGTGTATTTTGTTTGCCTGGACGCATTCCATTTCCCTGTTTTTGGAGTATGACTGAGTTTTGGGCACCCTGTATAATATAAAGGCGAAAAAAAAAATATTTTTTAATTTTTATGAGTACATGAACTGCTCTGGTCAAAGAGACCTACATATTTTTGATTGAAATCAAAGTTTTTTAATTAATTTTCAAAACTATTGACAGTGATAAATTGTGCTATTGTCACAGTTTTTCCTGAACTTTAAACTGAATTATACTTCATATCAAATTTAAAGTAAAATGTTTGATTTAGGATCAACTATCAAAGATTGCGAAGTTCTTGTTAAAATATAATAATTTTAAAATTTAAATTTTGCAAAAAAAAAGTGTAAAAAAATTACAATAATTTTAATAATCTTAAATATAATTACATATTACATTTGTTGAGGTTATTATATTGCCAAACATTTAAATGCTATGAAATATTTGACTTAATAATTCAGTATATATTTTTATAAAAATTTTTAACAATGGTAACAATTTTACTAGTTTAGTTGAATATAATCTATTGGGAGAAGCAAATATAAAAATATTATACATATATTTTTAGCACACTATGTACATTTAACATGTACAAAAATCATCAAATTCCAAAAAGGTTAATGGTTCATTGCATATTTTTTGTATACAGTCGTTGAAAATTGGCTCTTAATCGATTGTGGAAATATATTTTATAATCTACATCACATAATATATATTATTATATAATATATGTATGTTAATTCTATGTACATATAAAGAAATGACTATAAATAATCTGCAGTTTTTTTTAGATCTACATAAATGTATCTGCTTACATACCTTAAAAATATATAAATACTTTATTAAATTATTTTAATTTTGTAATTTTTTGTAATGTTTTCAAATAAAATGATTTCTAAAGAGCGGTTTTCCTTAAAATTTGTTAATATAAGAGTTAGTATATATAAATTTTTATACACTAACTCTTATAACATTATAGTTCAATATTTTATTACATTTAGATCAAAATTGCTTAAATTATTTTTACGTTAAAATGTTTATCGTATTCTAACATAATGCCATTCTTTATTTGTTTCTCACAGAAATTTAAATGGATTTTAATTCAGAATGTTATAAAAACCAAAAATATTTCTGTAAATTGTGAATTATATATATATAGCTACTTCTCAGGTGGTAAAAAGTACGGGTACTTCTAGAAGGGCTAGAGACATGGGACAAAAGGCATTAGGTAGAATTTTGCCTCTAGGGTCCCAGAAAAATCTGACATTGGAACTTTTTAGCCCCGAAATAGCTCTATTTTAAGATTTTCTGAAAAAATTTTTGTATAACAAAAGCACGTTTTTCTTTTATACTTTTTATAATTAGAAACACAAACCACGAAATAAATGATACGTTTTACGTTATTTTTATTATTAGAAACACAAACCGAGAAATAAATAATATTTGAAAATATAATGATCTCACATATTTTTGTTGCGGATAAACGAATTAATTTTAACGTAAATAAATGTCAGCTTTTATCAGACATCAGATGTTTTGTGACATCTGAATATTAATATTTCATTTGTTATTGTTTGAACATTACGTTTCGTCAGCAAGCTTTAAAAAAATATATGTACATACAGAATATATGTATGTACGTATGTAGTTAGAATTTTATTTTTATTGTTCCAAACGGAAAACTGTAAAATGCTAAATTTTAATACATTTATATATACATACATATATTTGAATAAAATTATTATTTTGTTTTTGCCTAAACCTTTTCTTTATTTAAAAAAATTACATTCATATGTATATATATATATTTGAATACAATTATTATTTTATTTTAACCTAAACCTTTTCTTTATTTGAGAAATTTATTTCTATATGTTCACCCGCAGTTTTAAAAAAACTAGGTATACATTCATAATAACGTGTGTTTGTGTTAATAATTTTATTTATAATTTTTCCAACAGCAAAATTTTGTTCGTACATACGTTCATATGTTGGAACGAAAAATTTTAAAATCTTCAATTCTAATCCATTCATATATACATACATACACACATGTATTCATATATACATTCATACACATATTTTTACATACATAAATTTTTATTTTGTTTTTGACTAAACCTTTTCTTTATATTTAAAATTCAATCCTATATGTTTACCCACAGTTTAAAAAAAACAGGTATCCATTCATAATTATGTATATTTGCATTTATAATTTTATTTATAATTTTTCCAACAGCAAAATTTCAAAATTTTCGATTCTAATACATTCATATGTACATACGTTCATATGTTGGAACGAAAAATTTCAAAATCTTCAATTCTAATCCATTCATATATACATACACACATATATTCATATATACATACTTACATATATTTTTACATACATAAATTATTATTTTGTTTTTGACTAAACCTTTTCTTTATTTGAGAAATTAATTTTTGTAAGTTTACCCCCATGATATAATAATT